GGAATTTGAAGTCCTGCAATGAATTTCTGTGCAAAACGAATAAGCTCAATCGTAAAGCGCAACAGAAAACTTGAAAAAAAAGGACTTGTTTCGAATGCAAATAACTGCTTCGGCAAGCTGGTCGAAATCGAAGCTTTCTCGAACTTATCTACCTCAGAAACTTTTACTAATGTTTTACTTTACACAGTGGTTCGCACAGAAACTTAAAAAAAAACAAGGAAAATTTCACAACACGCAGCTGTGCTGTTAATCTGCCGCACTTATTTTACTTTGCATTTCTGCGCAAGGAATGAAACATTTTAGTGCCAGAACATACCAGCACGGCGTGTTCTTGTTTGGTAAATCGCTTCATTTGATATAGAGTACATGCGTAAAAATTCACATCAATTATCTTATCGAATAGAGTAAAACGGGTAATGAACATACTCAAAAAAGCACAATAATGAGTTTAAAAACTTCAAAACTTGACATGATAATCTAATTTCCTCCTCTGCGAAGTGAAAAATTGGTCAGAGTAAGCATCTCCCTCCGTCCACATCCCTAGCTGAATGCTTCCTAATTAATTCTACTTTATACTGCTACATCACATTCATCATCGGATTAAATGTACGACTACAGCGCTTTGCAAAAGCTAGGCTTCAATGTGTATTTGGAAAAAGTTCCCTTAAAAGAAAACTTCCGATTTTCGCTTTTTTTTTGCCAAAAGTTATGCAGCCTTTACTTCACAGGCCTTTATTATACTTCTGAAGGCAAAGATTATTGGATTAAAAAGTGCACAGATGTGTTGTTTTTCGGGCGGCTATTGTGCCAGAATTTTGAGTCCTTCAGCTGAATTCTTAGGCATTTCTTGAAGAAACGCAAAAATCAGTCTATTGATACAAGCATCCTGATAAAATACTACCAGTTATAATTATGTTTACTTTAAAAATCTGTGCATGCCTTTTCTACTGAGCGAACGATCATGGAATTTTTCAGTTCTGCTTGCAAAAGCTAAGCTGTCTTTGACTTATCCCCGTTTTTACGTAAATCAAAATAAAACAAAGAATTAATTTTGAACTCAGTCCGGCGCTTTCCCTGAAGCTGATGTAAAAAATTTTAACAAAACAACTAGCATGTCATGAAACTGCCCAGTAG